AGATGGGGGTATGGGAATGGTGGGATGGAAACAGGATCATGGGAATGGGGGGATGGGAACGGGATGGGAATGGGAGTCATGGGGATACGTATGGGATATGGATATGGGATACGGGGGATAGGATATGGGCTATGGGGTATTATGGGCTATGGGGCGCTATGGGCTATGGGGTACTATGGGTATGGGGTATTAGGGGCTATGGGAGATTAGGGGCTATGGGGTATTATGGGCTATGGGGCGCTATGGGGTATTAGGGGCTATGGGGCGCTATGGGCTGTGGGGTATTATGGGCTATGGGCTATTATGGGCTATGGGGCGCTATGGGGCCTTCCCCCTCCCCCCCCCATTCGCAGCACGAGCTGCGGGGGCACCGGGACCTCGTTCACTGCCTGGCGCTGCGGGAGCTGCCCCCCCACGTGCTCTCGGGGGGCGAGGACGGCACCGTGCGCCTCTGGGGTCAGAGCCGCCCCTCCCCCACCCCCCCTCCCCCACACTGCCCCTCCCCCACCCCCTCATTGCCCCTCCCTCACCCCCTCATTGCCCCTCCCCCAACACACTGCCCCTCTGCCACCCCATCCTACCCCTCCCCCACTCCCACATTGCCCCTCCCCCACCGCATCCCCCATCGCCCCTCCCCCACACTGCCCCACCCCCACCCCATCCCCCATCGCCCCTCCCCCACACTGCCCCTCCCTCACCCCATCCCCCATCGCCCCTCCCCCACACTGCCCCACCCCCACCCCATCCCCCATCGCCCCTCCCCCACACTGCCCCTCCCCCACCCCATCCCCCATCACCCCTCCCCCACATTGCCCCTCCCCCACCCCATCCCCCATCGCCCCTCCCCCACCCCATCATTGCCCCTCCCCCACGCCCTCATTGCCCCTCCCCCACCAACACACTGCCCCTCCCCCACCCCATCCTGCCCCTCCCCCACTCCCACACTGCCCCTCCCTCACCCCCTCATTGCCCATCCCTCACCCCATCTCCCCTCCCCCACACTGCCCCTCCCCCACCCCATCCCCCATCGCCCCTCCCCCACACTGACCCTCCCCACCCCATCATTGCCCCTCCCCCACCCCCACACTGCCCCTCCCCCACCCCATCCCCCATCGCCCCTCCCCCAATTGCTCCTCCCCCCCCATCGCCCCTCCCCCATTCTCACTGACCCTCCCCCCAATTGCTCCTTCCCCCACACCTCATTGCCCCTCCCCCCATCCCCATCGCCACTCCCCCCTTGCCCCTCCCCCCCACCCCCTAAGTCCCTCCCACCATTGCCCCTCCCCCATTCTCACTGCCCCGCCCATTGCCCCTCCCCACCTTGCCCCTCCCCCACCCCCCATTGCCCCTCCCCCATCGTGCCCCCATTGCCCCTCCCCCACCGCCCCTCTCCCATCCCCATTCCTCCTCCCCCCTTGCCCCTCCCCCCATTACCCCTCCCCCACCCCCATTGCCCTTCCCCCTCATTTCCCCTCCCCCACCCCTCCCCATTGCCCCTCCCCCCCCTTCATTGACCCCCTTTTTCCCCTCCCCCACCCCCAGATCTCCGCACTGGGACCCAGGCTCAGGTCATTGAGGTGCACAAGTACGAGGTAAGGGGGGGAGGGGCGGGGGGGTCCCCATCCCCCACCCCCCCCCCCATCCCCCACCCCCATTCCCGCCCATCCCCCCTCATAGGAGTGCAGCCGCCCCAACCACGGGAAGTGGATCCGGTGCCTGGCCACGGACTCTGATTGGATGGTGAGAGGGAGGGGGCGGGGCCAAAGGGCGAGGGGTTGGCCAATGGGTGGGGAGGGGGTGTGGCCAGTGCGGGTGCTGTGATTGGCCAAGGGGGGGGGGGGGGGCTTTTTGTCCCGGAAGGGGCTGTGATTGGCCAATGGGGTGGGAGGGAGGCGTGGCTATGGTAGAGGGGGCGTGTCCAGGAGGGTGCTGTGATTGGCCAATGGGGTGGGAGGGGGGCGTGGCTATGGTAGAGGGGGCGTGTCCAGGAGGGTGCTGTGATTGGCCAACGGGCTGTGAGGGGGGCGTGGCTATGGTAGAGGGGGCGTGTCCAGGAGGGTGCTGTGATTGGCCAATGGGGTGGGAGGGGGGCGTGGCTATGGTAGAGGGGGCGTGTCCAGGAGGGTGCTGTGATTGGCCAATAAGAAGGGAAGGGGGCGTGGCCAGGAAGGGGGTTGACCAATGGGTAAGGAGGTGGGGGCGTGGCTATGGGAGAGGGGGCGTGTCCAGGAAAGCACTGTGATTGGCCAATGAAAAAGGGGTGTGTGTCGAGGGGGACGACACGGACTGTGATTGGCCAATGAAGAAGGGGGCGTGGCTACGGGAAGGGGGCGTGTTCTGGGTGTGGGGGGGAGGGATGGATGCTGTGATTGGCCAATGAGGAGGAAAGGGGGGTGTGTTGGGACGCTGTGATTGGTCACTGAGGCAGGGGGCGTGTCCGGAGGCTGTGATTGGTCACTGAGGCAGGGGGCTGTATCCAGAGGCTGTGATTGGTCAGTGAGGAGGGCAGGGGGCGTGTCCGGGGGCTGTGATTGGTCAGTGAGGCAGGGGGGCGTGTCTGGACGCTGTGATTGGTCACTGAGGAGGGCAGGGGGCGTGTCCGGAGGCTGTGATTGGTCACTGAGGAGGGCAGGGGGCGTGTCCGGGGGCTGTGATTGGTCAGTGAGGTGGGGTGGGGCGTGTCCGGAGGCTGTGATTGGTCAGTGAGGAGGGCAGGGGGCGTGTCCGGGGGCTGTGATTGGTCAGTGAGGCAGGGGGGCGTGTCTGGACGCTGTGATTGGTCACTGAGGAGGGCAGGGGGCGTGTCCGGAGGCTGTGATTGGTCACTGAGGAGGGCAGGGGGCGTGTCCGGGGGCTGTGATTGGTCAGTGAGGTGGGGTGGGGCGTGTCCGGAGGCTGTGATTGGTCAGTGAGGAGGGCAGGGGGCGTGTCGGGAGGCTGTGATTGGTCACTGAGGCGGGGGGGCGTGTCCGGACGCTGTGATTGGTCAGTGAGGCGGGCAGGGGGCGTGTCCGGAGGCTGTGATTGGTCAGTGAGGAGGGCAGGGGGGGCGTGTCCGGAGGCTGTGATTGGTCACTGAGGCAGGGGGGGCGTGTCCGGAGGCTGTGATTGGTCACTGAGGCAGGGGAGCGTGTCCGGAGGCTGTGATTGGTCACTGAGGCAGGGGGGCGTGTCCGGAGGCTGTGATTGGTCAGTGAGGAGGGCAGGGGGCGTGTCCGGAGGCTGTGATTGGTCAGTGAGGCGGGCAGGGGGCGTGTCCGGAGGCTGTGATTGGTCAGTGAGGAGAGCAGGGGGCGTGTCGGGAGGCTGTGATTGGTCACTGAGGGAGGGGGCGTGTCCGGAGGCTGTGATTGGTCACTGAGGAGGGCAGGGGGCGTGTCCGGAGGCTGTGATTGGTCAGTGAGGAGAGCAGGGGGCGTGTCTGTGGGCTGTGATTGGTCAGTGAGGAGGGCAAGGGGCGTGTCCGGAGGCTGTGATTGGTCAGTGAGGCGGGGGGGGCGTGTCCAGAGGCTGTGATTGGTCAGTGAGGAGGGCAGGGGGGCGTGTCCGGAGGCTGTGATTGGTCAGTGAGGCGGGGGGGGCGTGTCCAGAGGCTGTGATTGGTCAGTGCCTGCCCCACTGCGCAGGTGTGTGGGGGGGGCCCGGCGCTCACCCTCTGGCACCTGCGCTCCGTGACCCCCACGACCGTGTTCCCGCTGCCCCCGCGCCAGCACCACGCGATCTTCCACCAGGACCTGGTCAGTGCCGCCCCATAGCGACCCATAGGGACCCATAGCGACCCATAGGGACCCATAGAGACCCATAGGGACCCATAGAGACCCCATAGAGACCCATAGAGACCCATAGAGACCCATAGAGACCCATAGAGACCCATAGGGACACATAGAGACCCATAGGGACACATAGAGACCCATAGGGACACATAGAGACCCATAGAGACACATAGAGACCCATAGAGACCCATAGGGACCCATAGAGACCCATGGGGACCCCTAGAGACACATAGAGACCCATAGAGACCCATGGGGACCCATAGGGACCCATAGAGACCCATAGGGACACATAGAGACCCATAGAGACACATAGAGACCCATAGAGACCCATAGAGACCCATAGAGACACATAGAGACCCATAGAGACCCATAGAGACCCATAGAGACCCATAGAGACCCATAGGGACACATAGAGACCCATAGAGACACATAGAGACACATAGAGACCCATAGGGACCCATAGGGACCCACAGGGACCCACAGGGACCCATAGGGACCCATAGGGACCTGTAGAGAAACATAGGGACCCATAGAGACCCATAGAGACCCATAGAGACCCATAGAGACCTAGGGAGCCCTATAGAACCCTTGAAAGCCCTAGATAACCCTATAGACCCTGTGGAACCCTAGAGAGCCATATAGACCCTATGCAGCCCTATAGACCCACATAGAGCCCTATAGACCCATATAGAGCCCCATAGAACTGTGTATAGACCTATAGAGAGTTTTATCTCGCTAGGCTCCTATAGGTCCCTATAGACCCCTATGGACTCCCATAGACCCCTATGGATCCCCATAGCCCCCCCATAACCCCCGTAGACCCCCATAAACCCACCATAGCCCCCGATATACCCCCATAGATCCCCCATAGACCCCCATAGGCCCCCTATATACCCCCCATAGCCCCCATAGACCCACCATAGCCCCCCCATAGTCCCCATAGAGCCCCATAGCCCCCCCATAGACACCCATAACCCCCCCATAGCCCCCCCATAGCCCCAATACACCCCAATAGCCCCCCCCAGCCCCCCAAACCCCCCATAGACCCTCCATAGACCACTATAACCCCCCCATAGCCCCCCCATACACCCCCTATAGGCCCCATAGACCCCCCATAGCCCCCCTATAGACCCCCACAGCCCCCCCATAGGCCCCCTATAGGCCCCCATACACCCCCACACACCCCCATAGCCCCCCCATAGCCCCCCATAGACCCCCATAGACCCTCCATACACCCCCATAGACCCCCCATATCCCCCCCATAGGCCCCCATAGCCCCCCATAACCCCCCCATAGACCCCCCATAGACCCCCCATACACCCCCATAGCCCCCCATACACACCCCATAGACCCCCCATACACCCCCCATAGCCCCCCATAGACCCCCATTGCCCCCCATACACACCCCATAGACCCCCCATACACACCCCATAGACCCCATAGACCCCCCATACACCCCCATAGCCCCCCATAGACGCCCCATAGCCCCCCATACACCCCCATAGACCCCATAGCCCCCCATACACACCCCATAGACCCCCCATAGACCCCATAGACCGCCCATAGACCCCATAGACATCCCATATCACCCCTATATCCCCCCATAGCCCCCCATGCACCCCCATACACCCCCATAGACCCCCCATACACCCCCATAGACCCCCCATACACCCCCCATAGACCCCATATCCCCCCCATAG